TCAAATGGCTGTAGATGTGTGGTATTATTTCTGAGGACTCTGTTCTGTTCCATTGGTCTATATCTCTGTTTTGGTACCAGTACCATGCTGTTTTGGTTACTGTAGCCTTGTAGTATAGTTTGAAGTCAGGTAGCGTGATGCCTCCAGCTTTGTTCTTTTGACTTAGGATTGTCTTGGAGATGCGGGCTCTTTTTTGGTTCCATATGAACTTTAAAGCAATTTTTTCCAATTCTGTGAAGAAAGTCATTGGTAGCTTGATGGGGATGGCATTGAATCTATAAATTACCTTGGGCAGTATGGCCATTTTCACGATATTGATTCTTCCTATCCATGAGCATGGTATGTTCTTCCATTTGTTTGTGTCCTCTTTCTCATTAAACTAAAGAGCTTTTGCACATCAAAAGAAACTACCATCAGAGTGAACAGGCAACCTACAGAATGGGAGAAAATTTTTGCAATCTACTCATCTGACAAAGGGCTAATATCCAGAACCTACAAAGAACTCAAACAAATTTACAAGAAAAAAACAAACAATCCCATCAAAAAGTGGGCAAAGGATATGAACAGACATTTCTCAAAAGAAGACATTCATACAGCCAACAGACACATGAAAAAATGTTCATCATCACTGGCCATCAGAGAAATGCAAATCAAAACCACAATGAGATACCATCTCACACCAGTTAGAATGGCGATCATTAAAAAGTCAGGAAACAACAGGTGCTGGAGAGGATGTGGAGAAATAGGAACACTTTTACACTGTTGGTGGGATTGTAAACTAGTTCAACCATTGTGGAAAACAGTATGGCGATTCCTCAAGGATCTAGAACTGGATGTACCATATGACCCAGCCATCCCATTACTGGGTATATACCCAAAGGATTATAAATTATGCTGCTATAAAGACACATGCACACGTATGTTTATTGCAGCACTATTCACAATAGCAAAGACTTGGAATCAACCCAAATGTCCATCAGTGACAGATTGGATTAAGAAAATGTGGCACATATACACCATGGAATACTATGCAGCCATAAAAAAGGATGAGTTTGTGTCCTTTGTAGGGACATGGATGCAGCTGGAAACCATCATTCTTAGCAAACTATCACAAGAACAGAAAACCAAACACCGCATGTTCTCACTCATAGGTGGGAACTGAACAATGAGATCACTTGGACTCAGGAAGGGGAACATCACACACCAGGGCCTATCATGGGGAGGGGGGAGGGGGGAGGGACTGCATTGGGAGTTATACCTGATGTAAATGACGAGTTGATGGGTGCAGCACAGCAACATGGCACAAGTATACATATGTAACAAACCTGCACGTTATGCACATGTACCCTACAACTTAAAGTATAATAATAATAAATAAATTTAAAAAAATAATAAAAATAAAAATAAAAAAATAAAACATAAAAAAAAAAAAAAAAAAAGAATTGTCCTTGTTAAACAGCTGCTTGTTCCAAGGTCATGCTCCCTTCCCAGGGATACACTACCTCCAGTGGTTTGTCTATTTAGGGTATTGCTTTGCCTTAAGATAAGTAGGAAGGGCTCTCCCAGCTCCAGAGGTTTTTCTTGACTACATCACATTTCAACTTTTTTGGTTTTGTCCAATATTGCTTTCTTCACTTCTTCACAAGTGTACATGCTGAGAGCTAATAAACATGCTGTGTTCAAATCTCTGTCTCAGTGTCTGTTTTCCGGGGACCTCAACCTGCAACATTTTAGGATCTCATTTCTAAAACAGCCATTAACGTAAGTGTAGAATTCAAACTTTCAGCCCTGATATATTCTAGCAAATGCAGATCAGTGGCTCCTGTATTTTAATTTAAAATAATTTTATTCCATTTATTGAACTATATTTACTGTGATTCAATTTGGTTGGCAGCAGTGCAGTATTATCTTCTTGGAAACTAGTTAAAAAATTAAAATCTGAACTTTTCTCAGAATCCACAGGAAGTCATTCTTTTCTTTTCAAAAAATTATCTGTGAGCAGTCTCCATTTCATTGCAGCCTGATGCTAGTACCTTGCAGAGAACTTGCTGACCATTGTCAATGATATTTGAAAATTGGAAATAACAGGAAAGACTGAAAGTGGACTTACGCCATTTAATTTTCAAAAAAGGGAAGAGTGTCATTGTCATAAGTGAAATATATAAGTGAATTGTTGTGGTGAGCACATTGATAGAGTAAAAGGTTTGTGGTGGGAATGTTGTAGCGATTGATGAAGTTCCAGATAGAGACTTGGGCTTGCTTGGTAAGTAGCTGTCCAGAGCTGGGCAGATCAGCTATGGCAGGAAGACAGCCCGACTCTCTGAGATTATCTAGAGTCCTAGGCTGGCAGGTGCCTCTGCCATCCTCAGCATAAAACTTCCATCTCCAGGTTGTCACCATTTCCCATTTAGTGAGAAGAGGGAAAGATCAGAGTCCTTCTTCAAGTACTCAACTCCCCAATATACTGACAAGGTGTACCATTTGTCGGAGTCTCCACTCTGAAGGTGGTCACAGGAGTTTGTCTTCCATTGGCCACCAGTGGGAAGCTACTGACTTGCTTTTCAGAAAATCAGCCCCTAACTATTGTGAATTCATGATGATTTTTTGTCTGCCAATTTGGAACAGCAATTCATGGGGTAGCAAATTTTGCCCTATGAACTGGGCTTGACCAATTTGGTAAGAGAAAGGAAGTGATAAAGGGGGTGACAAGGGTGAATCTAGAGTGAATTATTTATATTCCAATCATCTTTATAACACATGTACTCCATCTCTGGCATAGTAAAAAGTGTTTCATGGGTAAAGACATCTTTATAAGTGCCATATTTTAGGGGTCCACAAAATACTCAAGCCCTGACCCTATGTTCCACATTCCCTCTGGAGCAAGAGATGTATGACTATCGAGAAGAAAATGGGTAGAAATAAATGAGTAGAAACCCAGACAGGTCTGGCACAAATGTGGAATTTAGATACTGTACACGGAAGAGCACAGTGAAAGAAAAGACCAATGTATGGAGGACGAAGGAAAATTTTACACTGGAGCTTCTTGGGGAATGCATTCTGAGCCTTAGTGCCTGGATAATTACTACATATGAACTTAAAGTAATAAATTACAAAATATCTGAGCTCTAAGGGACCTTAGAGACCACCTCCACCAGACTCCTAGTTTTAACAAAGAAAAAATAGAATCTCAGAGACTGGCAAGTAACTTGGCCCAATCACAGCTAGTTAACAGATTGGATATCCAGACCTGTGTTCTATCCATAGTCCCCTTAATCTTGCAGTGAGGGTAAAGGGGAGATAAAAGTGAAATGTGGTACTCAAGAACCTAGAAAATCTCTCAGAAAATGTATCTCAAGCTGATCAAGCCCAGACTTTCTTATCCATATCAAATCTCTCAGTTTTGAAGTCTGCATCACTGGCCTCAATCCCTTGTCTGAAATAAAGGGGTAAATTGCTGTTTAGCCTGATGCCTGAAATGCTGATGTGCTATGTAGAGCGCTGGGGAGAAAGGTGTGGTTAATGAATGTGGTGGAAAGCCTGGTCCCAAGGCTAAAACATAAGATAGACCTTGGGGAGGTGGCAGAGGAAGCATTCTGAAGCAACATCAGGGAGTCTCCCAGGGAAACTTTGCCTGGCCTGTTGCTGAGGAGAAATCTCTTCTCCATTGGCCAGACTATTTTTTTTTTTTTTTTAAGTGGAGGAGAGTGTGAAGAAAGGTAATACCAGATCCTTATCCAAAGTTTAAAAAAAAAGAAAAAAATGTTTAGTAATTTCCCTGTTCTTTCTGGCCCAAAAACATTCCTTGGAAAAAATGGGACTTGTAGGTCTCATGGATATTTAAAAGTTTTCTCCCCAGCCACACTTCCTCATACTTTAATTGTTCTAAGGCATAGACAAGCTACAGGCACTCTGATCTTTCACTGACTTCCATGAATCCACAGCCAGTACCAGCAATATGTTGCCCATCTTCCCTACTGCTTTCTCTAAGCCCTGAGTATAAACATTTCTATGGTCAGGGTCATGGGGGTAGGGGGTAGTGGTGGCAAAGACTGGGTCTCATGCAGGTGCTAAAAGTTCCTAAATTTGTATAAATTTTTGCAATTTACAAATAACTTTCAAATACAGACTCTTATTTGATTCTCAGAAGAACTCTAAGAGGTAGACAGGATGATTATTATGTTTTCTTTGCACAAATGAAATACTGAAGTCCATGGAGGTATAAGAAGATTTTCCCAGATCACAAATCTAGAAAGTAGAAGAGTCAGGATTTGAATTGATGTCTTTTTCTGTATGGTTTAGTCTCTTTCTAATGGATAGCTTTATAATAAGAAGAAACTTGGCCAGGTGCAGTGGCTCACACCTGTAATCCCACACTTTGTGAGGCTGAGGTGGGAGGATCGCTTGAGGCCAAGAGTTTGAGACCAGCCTGGGCAAAATAGCAAGAATCCATCTCTACAAAAAATTTAAAAAATAAATCATAAGTAAAAACTTAATCCCATTTACTCTATGACAGAAGAATGAGCCTCCAAAGAATATGATGAAGACATAAAATGAAAAGGAAAATAAACCAAAACTGTCTAGTTCTTTTGCCCAAGATCTTATTCAGTCCTGGACTGTTTTCACAGCTGAGGGTTTTGGTTATTATTATTTGCTGGAATTTCTCCAAAATGCTTGGTTCAGGTGCTGTATAAAGATACAAGATATAAGTTCAAGATATAAATTTGGGAGGGGCAAAACAATCACAGAGGAATCCTGGACTGTACTTCATCCTGAGAGTCTTATGTCTTGAGACTGTCCCTGATTCTGCCAAGAACTGAAAGTTTATATATAGTAAACTGATGAAGAAGCATAAAAATGATCCACCTCACTGGCATCTTCCTATGCCTTTTCATTCCTAGATCACACTTATAATAGTCAAGAGAGGATATTTCCAATCTAGAACTGCATGGTTCTTGCCTTTAGAAGAAAACAAACTAGGAAGCCTTGAATACTTAGAAGCATTCTATTACATGGTTTTATATTTATTTTATTGAAATTGAACTTCTCTTTTACAAATGCTAATAAATTGAATCTATTCATTCTTCATTTATTCAACCAATGTTAATTGAGCACTTACTATTACATGCCACTTAACCAGTTTCACTCAGTTTAATGAAACATCTCTATAAATCCTTGAGCACAGACGTTTCTATGTATATTGCAAGCTGTGTTTGACAATTGAGTAGTAATTGCTGATGCTGGAAAAAAAAGTAATGTTTCAAATATTTCTGGAGTAATTATATCAGTTGCTTTTGGGGTTTGGCTTAGGATGTGGGTTCAGAAGTTTGAAGCCTTTCCTGGTTCTCTTAATCTTCAAGAGAAATGTGACCTGCTGCTGAGTCGAGATAAATAATCCTGTGTCCACAGCAAACAGAATCGCCACCAACAATGGGATAAGAAATTGTAGCCAGTACTTGTCATGCCGAGCTGTAGTGGAAAACAGATGCAATGAGAAACATAATTCATATTGGGAACTGAAGAATGAGGTTCAGAGGTTCATCCTCCCTAAGAGAAAGACCAAGCTTTGTCCTTCATTTTTAGCATGATGTGGCATCCAGAGCATAGAGAAAACATTCAGATTAGTGCTATGTTGAGTTGCTCTGTTGGTGCTCCCTGGAGCCATAGGGAGTCCTGAGCATTTCCTCATAATTCCAGTAGCCAGTGTGCCCAGTGGGGAAGATTATAGGAAAGATAAACCCCTTCTTGGAAATGACAAGACCAGAATTCACATATAATTAAGGGGTGGAAAGGAGACAAAGTGAGGGCAGGAGTCATCAATGCCTATTATTCAATTATCAGTCATCATTTCTTACATGCCTGTTAGGCAAAATGAAGAAATTGCACTAGTTAAATTGCCTTCCAATTCTATTATTTTGTGGTTCTGTTAGTCTGTTTATAAACTGCATTGATTTTTGTGATTATTCTCAAATTATAGAGCCTCAGAATACATCCAGAATCCAATACATCCAGAAATCATTTAAAGATCACCTAGACAAGTGATTCTCAGTATTGACTACACATTGCCATTATGTGAAAGACCTTTGAAAAATACAGATACCCAGGTTGCACTCCAAGCCAGTTAAATCAGAATCTCAAGAAATGAGACATGAGCATCAATATATTTTTTTAAGTCATCAAATGATTCTAATGGAGTCTAGACCAAATCTTCTGTTTTACAGATGACGATACTGGAAGCCTAGAGGCAAGTACATAGCACTTAGATCTCAATTTAGTTAACATAGAACTGTTAGGGCTTAATTCTGTATTTTGACTTCATGCTTTTTTAGACATTAGTATGTACAGTGTGAAGGAAAAGTCTAATTTTCTCCTTTGAAAGTGAATACTTCACAGGCTCCCTCTCTTATACAGAGTTTGGAGAGAGCAGTTTTTCTTGCAGGCCATAGAGGTAGTCCACCTGCCTACCCTCTCCATATCAAGTCCATTCCCTTCTCCCTCAATATACAGGCACACAACTTACTGACTTGCTGGTTTCCTTTCCCAGCCCTCCTAAGCTGGAATGGGCTCCTCAAGCTCTTTACATCTTTTTTTCATTCAACTTTGAAACTTTTTTTCAATTTGATAAATATAAGTGTTCTCCCCAGGAGCAACAGATGACTTTGAGATCAAAATAGTAATCACAATCTGTTATGCTTGGGTAGTGCTTAACAGTTTACAAAGTCATTTCACAAACATCACTACATTAATCTTCATAAAAATTTCATAGTGTGAGCAGGTATTACTATCACCATTTAACAAGTCAAGACTTTGAAACAGAGATTGAGATATATACTATCACCCAGGTCTCCTCATTGCAAGTCTAGTAGGCTTTCCAGTGTATCACAGGTGCCCCCCTTCTACAAACTGCACCCACTCAGGCTCAGATGTCCTCTCTTCCTTCCCCTGCTGTGGATGCTTTTCCTTTCCTTTACCAACTCACCTTTTATTACAGTAATGTTGAGGGGCTCAGACTCACAGTCCAGCTGCCACAGTTTGCCCGTACAGTAGTAGGTGCCACTGTCTTCAACTCTGGCATTTGTAATGGAGATGTTGTGGTTCTCATACCAGTACTTGAGAGCTTCACCATCCTTGTAATAGATCACCTTGTACACATCCCAGTTCCTCCAACTATGGCACCTGAGGAAGAGGGGCTGACCCTCCATCACCACCTCAGCAGAAGCCTGAAGGAGCAGCCAGTCTGAAGAACATTCATTATGTTATTTATTTAACAATAAATGAAGAGGGAGAGAATGAATAGATAAAAGACAGTCATGCATAGAACATGTGTCAGAAACTATGAATTGTCATTAACCCACTTTTTGGCTCATAAAGTGGATTTTTAAAGGGCACAAAATAATGCTTAGAGCCTGTCTTCTGTACTGATAAATTCTTTCTCCTCCTGAAAAGTCAGTCTGGGGCCACAAAGCCTCTCGGACCTCCCTGCTGAGTCCATACATGGAATACTTGAAAGCCAGAATTGCTTTCAGATATTCTGTTGCTAGTTCTAGTTAGTTAGGGGAAAATAAACAGTCTTTCTTAGGAATTTTAGCTTGGGAGAGTGTCTATTTTGTCCTCTCTTACCTTACAGAAACTTCCCAGTTCTAGTGTTAATTATAGTTGTCACAAAAACTTCTTCAAAACATGTACAATTTAAATTAATTACTTGTGTAATTTTTTGTTTAATGTCCTCTTCCCATATAGCTCTATGCTCCAAGAAGTCAGGGGTCCTATCTGGTTCCACATTCTATTCTGAATGTCCAACATAATATTTAAGAGTTGGTAGCAATACTTAGGCATTGGTAGCACTACTTAGGAGTTGGTAAGTACTCAACAAATATTTGTCACTAATGAGTCAGTGAAAGACAAGAATCACATTCTATGGTTAATGTTTTTGTAAAAATTAAAAGGCATTAATTAAAGGAGAATTTTGGAAGGAAATATCGCTAGCATAATAAGTATATTTAATTTAGGACCAATCCTTAAGGACTTCTCTAGAACCTACTCAAGGAAATAAGCTATTCTACATTGCTTTAGTTTGTGTTTGGAATTTACATATGGAGGTTGAAACATTTTTTTTTCACTCAAGAGAAAAATATAGAGTATAAAAGAGACCTATTGGTCACTATTCAAAATTATTAGTTTGTTTATTCAACATTTGCTGATTAAGCCTCATGTGCCTAAGCATGCTATGCTAATTGTTGGTAGTAGGAGAGTGATAAAGATGAAACAAGCATGAAATATGTGTTCTTAAGTAACAATAGAGGACATGAGTAAATGTACCCAAATATGTTTCATAATGAAGAGTACAACCTAATATTCAGGTCATGGCATATGGATTATGCAGAGCAAAACTTTAAGTCAAACCTTTTGGTCCTATTCCAGACACACAACGCTTTGAAATGTTCACATATATGTCATGCTGTTTGACCACATAATATGTACCTGAATCTAGGTAGAAAAAACAGAGGAAAATAGGGTGGCGGAATAATAGCGAGAGATGACTAGAATATTGAAAGAAGGCATACGAGTAATCAAAAGGAAAGGGGGTAGAAGAGAGATGCAGGGGTCTTAAATGAGAGACCTTGAATCCCACTCTGGTGTCCTAACTCTCGGAATAACCTGTTTTTTTCCGTCTTCAGATGGGCCAACACTCACATGAGAGATCTGTATTTCCATATCCCTGGAACTTACCACTGAAGACTTCCAGGTGCACAGGTTCACTGTCATCAAATTGTTGGTGCTGACATTTGTATTCTCCACTGTCCTCAAAGTCGGCATTCACAATATTCAAACTTGAATTTGCCACTTCTGAAAGGCTGCCATTGTGGAACCATTTCATGGAACTGACTTCAAAGAAATTGCTCCCATTACATGTAAGAGTCACATTCTCTCCTTTAAATATTCTATTCCACGGGGGATTCAAGGAGACCGTAGGTTTCTGAGGGACTTCAAGAAGATAAAAATATGAAAAGAGATGTAGAGAGAAAAAAAGTCATTGAAAACTGTCCAGGCTTAAAAGTACAAATGTAGCAATATTCTGACAATCAGTGGTCAACATGTACTTGTACTGTTGGTAATAATACCTTGTTTTAATTTCTAGGGGAAGGATTAAAGAACTGAGAAAATAGTATTGTGGCCCCAGGGAATGCCCAACACAGGGAGAAAGGCAGGACACATATGCAGGAGATTTAAAAACAAAGAAACCAATTCACTATGTGATTTGAGCTGACTCACTCAACTTCTCTGTTCATTTCAATTCAGTATCTGTAAATGAGGACTGCAATCTCTTTTGAGGTAGAAACACTATCTGCCATGTTCAGCCATTGCTACATTAAATGTTTATTATGTGAATGAATGAGTGAATTCTGGATGGATAAAGTTATTGGACTAGATGAAATATAAGGTTTCTCCAAGTTCTGAATATTTATGACGATTTAATTGTAAGTATACACAGAGTGAAAAACATATGTCAGTTCCAGAAAGTAGTGAGAGGCACTAAGAAAGTCAGTCTTGAATGGCTTCCTGGAACAAGAGGATGTAGTGCAAATTTGAACAGAGACCAAAGAAGTAGATAAATGGTGATAAAGTAGAAGTAGATAAAAAGAGTGATATAGTCAGAAGAGAACTGGACTTAGATCCAAGGAACTTATGTTGGAATCCAGTTCCTTAGCCAGGTAACCACCACAAAATCACTGAGTTTCAGCATATTCAATTATAAAATGGCAATAATAATAATGCAATTATGGAGTGAGATTATGTCAAAGTGTCTAGGAGAGAGAATGAGACATGTATATGTGCAACAGACATGGTTATTGACTAAAACAGAGGAGAGAATGACTTGAGAGAATGCAATGAATCAGGGAAAAGAAGAAAGACAAGGTAAGGTGGAGAGGGAAAGTAGGTTGGCCAAGGAACAGATTCATACTCATTAGAAAGCAGAAGTAATGGGATGAAGAAAATAGTGAGAGGAAAGCAATGCCCAGACATGTTGAAACACCAAGGGAACAAGAACAGAGGACTCACCTGCTAACACGCCATCTGGAGCTGCAAAAGTTCAGAAAGGATAAGTTAGTGTCCAGCAGTCTTCTTTATTGCCAGAGGACTAGAATCTGGATGTGGGGATGAGATCTACATACATAAAATTTTAAGGACCCCGGGAGGGGTAATCGAATCTCTACTTACCAAAGAACAGTAAGGCTACACACAGTAGAGTAGGGGATTCCATGGCAGGAGCCATCTTCTTCATGAGCTCCTGGTGCTGATTGTGCTGGAGAGATCTAGGACTTCAAATATAGGCTTAAAACCAAAAAGCAGAAGGAAATGTTTTCTGTATCATATCTGGTTAACCCATCATCTGTGCCTGGTTTTGCTTCTTTCTTTAGAGATAATATTCAGGATGGTGCCAAACTGGGCAATTTTAATATTTACCCCCTTACTCCACTCCCTATCCCCCCTCCACATATACACCTGGAATCTGGTGAGAGAGAGGCATGGGTATAGCACAATCACAAGCTTTTTTAAATCTGTCAATCAGTATACAACTATTTAGTTTACAACTTAGAAAAGTGGGTTGCAAGGGAGGGCAGAATAAAACAGCAGCAACTAATTACTGAATACCAAACATATGCCAGGTGTTATCCTAAATAAATTTGATATTTCATTTATTTTTCATAATAATCCTACAAAGTATGTACCATCACTATGTGTATTTTATAAATAGGAAAACTGAATCTTAGTGAGGTTAAGTAACTTTTCTTGGGGTGTCAGCTATTAAATGTTCAAACACATAAAATCTAACCCCTAAGTCAAATTCTTAGTCATATGATGTACTATTATTCAGGAGCGTGGCTAGCAACTGCTGATTTCTTTTGGGATTCACCAGAGTTACCAACACTTTTCTTGTTTAATTTCCTGCTGATCAGTTAGTCCACAAATCCACAAATTTTCATCTGATTCACTGAAGATCCACTATCTGACCAGCCAAATTGGAAACATTTTCAGAGACTCCTTTTTTCTCTACTGTGCCCTAATCTGGCTCAGAACACAGGAAGGCAGACGTTAAACTATTACTTACAGGGATCTAGGACATACAATTTATTTTATTTTATTTCCTAGCTTTTGTTTACTTTTAATATTGTAATTTTCCAACACTATCACCCTTTCTCCTTTAAATACACAGCAGGGCCTTTCTGCAGGATTCCTTTACTACTACTTCTGTTTTTTGGCTCTAGATCAAGGCTGAACTTTCTTCCAGGATCTGGTATTAATGATGATACTGGAGATGAAAACTCTATTAATGTCCTATAGTGGTTTGTCATTTGCAAAGATTGCTTTTACATGAGTGTTCTATTTTATCTTTACCAAAACTCTGAAGAAGACAAGGACAACGTACTTATACCCACTTCACATCTGAAGCACTTGAGGAACCATTCCCTGGTATTTGAGAAACCAAATACCTTGATTTTCCTCACAGACTGCTGAATTAAGTCTATTGAATGAAATCAGTCATTCCACATGAGGATCTAACCAAAACCTTTAGCTTTCTGTGGAATTAGAAAATATTGGGCTAAAAAGGTTAATAAATAGGAATTTAAGTTTCAGATAAGAAAGGTTAGGTACTGAGCCCAGGACATGCTATATTTTAGTGACAGACCTTAAAGGGAACACCAAGTTACTATGAAAAGTACAAGTTGTTTGTGTTTAAAGTTCTGAATTCAAATGTTCCTAATCTTTATGTGATTGAAGGTTACCTGTAAAATAGGGACAATAATGGTATCCAGGTCATGGGTATATTATGGGATTTAATAAGATAAAAAAGAAATAAAATGAATCGTACAGCATCTGGCATGTAAAAGATGGTCAATAAACACATTTCTGCCTTCTTTATTACCATTATTTATTAAAGACTTGTAGGAGAAGTATTAATTTTGACTGGATTAAAGTTATTGTCATAGTATAAATAAAACTACATGGTACGTTTTATTTGATAAACAGCATCTTATGCCAGTTTAATATATCTACACAATCTCAATCCTCTCCATGGTTAAGAAGAAGAGAGCATAATCAAGAAAGAACAGAATGCAGAAAGTTGTTGGATAGGATTGGAGAAGAGAAGGAGGAGGAAATAGGGAAGATGTAGTTTTTGAGGTGCTGTCAGCGGGCAGTATTTGAAGCCCTAAGCCCTGGAAGAGATGGGGAAAGATTCTACTTTACCACTTTGTTGAGACTTTGTCCAGGGGATATTTTGGTTTCCTTTTTCCTAGGACATGGAACCTATAATCAAATTGTCTCTCAGAGATAGTCATTTTACCATGATTCAAATAGTCTATTTAAAGGCTTCCTCTGAAGTCGTTGTCTAAATAGCTCCTATTTAGATGGGAGATAGAGCAGGGCTCACCGAGAGATACTATTCCTAGTTCGGAGAGTATCAGCTTTGGAGTTAGAGAGGCCACTTTCATTTCTAAAGCTTTCTGAAGCTTTGGCTTTATCATTCTAAAACTTTTGCTTAAGTGACCAGTATTGAAATAAAGGAAGTGCTTTGGTAGCAGTAACAGCAAAAATGTAGCAGTCCAATAAAAGCAGCTCATTAAAGCCTAAAAAGCAAACCAAACTACCCATCTTCCCAGCACACCCCCCACCCCAAAAAAGCAAACCATTAACAAGGTCAGAAAGAAAAAGCCATACCCTAATTTCCATAGCATATAACTACAGATACCCAAAAGAACAGAACAAGAACTCAGAAGGAACACATTAACACTAAGATTAAACAAGAGTTCTATTCCTCCCTGGAAGAACGGGCTGATACATAGTTGAATTCCACAGGTTTTTTATCTTATATATCAAAAAAATGTCCTTCAAGTTTCATATCCATTATGTGGGTGGAGTGTGCCGTTGATATCTCATACCCAGCCTGTCCACATCAGGAACATATGTTCGCTGAAATCAGTAGGGTGTGTCTAAATTTCACTTCTTGCTTCTGATTCTGGGTACAGGCATGCTCAATACATAAAGAGCATCACTATCCCCAAATGTGGACCTGTTATTTGATGTTGGAAACCTTAATCTAGATTTCACTTTGCAGCAGTGGAAAAATGAAACAAATGGATGTGCATGAGCTACAGGGCTTGAGGACTGTGAGGTGCCCCTGCATCTGGATCCAGTGTGAGAGGCTTTTGGCAGGAACTTTTGTGTTTTGGAACATGGCTGGCAGAAGGAGGATCAAGGCTCAGCCTATACAGTGTGTTGGCCTGTGTGCCTTTCTCCAAAATTGGGAAGCAGAAAAACCAAATCAATCTGCTGACTTCTTTCTCATTCTCAAAGTTCTCTAAAACTAGGTGAGGTTCATACGAAATTGAATATGAAATGATGAAAGTGCAGAAGGTCTGTCTGCTCATGATGTTTACGTGCCTAATAAATGTTGATCGCTCCCTGAGAATCAAATACAAGGCTAACTATGCAACATGTCTTATCTATTTTCGTCCTCCTACCAACTCTATGTAGTTAAGAATAAGGAAATCAAAGCATGAAGAGGTTAAGTACCTTGTCCCAGGGCACGCAGTTGCTATGTAAAGGAATTAGAATTTGAACTTGGCAATATGGCTTAAGAACCCATGCTCATGACCAGATAGATGATAGATAGATAGATAGATAGATAGATAGATAGATAGATAGATAGACAGACAGATAGACAGATAAATAAAGATATCTTTATTCATTGAGTCTTCACTTTGTGATTAAGTGCACATGGATTAATAGTCCTCATGCAGAAATTCCTTGGATTCCCAGGTTCCATAACCCACAAATAAGAAATCACTGATGTAAACCAACTTACTGTTCTGTAAGTTCCCTTTCTTGATTCAGGCCCTGACATCTCAACTCACAGCCACACAATGTTGGTACTGTTGGCATGTTAGCTATGTATATTTCATGACATGCCTAAAAAGAAGAAAGGAGAGAGGGATTCTTTCCTTTTTCCTCTATGTTATTAGGGCCAAGAGGATATCAGCTGCATTTACTTTCTTTTGCCACCCTGAACAGGAGTTTCTGCTCAAGAGAGAGCATCGATAGCAGATGCTGACTGCCTGTTAGATTTTCACAAGAAAGTCAGTGGCTTTAATATTTTTTTACTTCTTTTCTTGACCTGAATGGGTCTAAAAGTAATAAATCCAAAGGAAATAAATGGAAAATCTCAGGACTACTAAAAAAGAGAGTGAAAAAGGAGCTTCTAGTTTCCTTTAAACAACCAGCTCTCATGTGAACTCATTACCATGGGGAAGGCACCATGCCATTCATAAGAGATCTGCCTCCATGACCGAAACACTTCCAACTAGGCCCCACCTCCAGCACTGGGGACCACATTTCAACATGAGATTTGGAGGGGACAGAATGTCCAAGGTATATCACTGAGCATAATGCACACTCTTTTATAGTGCATAGGTGTGGGCATCTAGATATCAAGTTGCTTGCCTTCAAGATATGTAATCAGCCACTCACACTTTGCTGATGAAGCATCTTTGTGGTGTTTATAGTTAAGGGTACAGTCTGAACCATAAGGTGGGCTCAAACAAATGGATCATGACCTCTGCCTTATAAATAGTATATTCCAGCCAAGAAGCCCAAAGGGCTTCAAACTTACCTTCATGTCTTCCAACGGATACAGATGTTAAGTGAGCTGACATTTTCTTCAGAATGGGGAGAACAATATTATAAACCCTCTGAGGAAGATCCTTAAGGAAAGTCGTAGTATAAAAAAGTTTTCCTTTTGTAAAAAAACATTTTTTTGAGACTGGGTTTTACTATGCTGCCCAAGGTGGTCTCTGACTGCCAGGCTCAAGTGATCCTCCCACCTCAACCTCCCAAGAAGCTGGGATTACAAGGATGTGCTACCATACCCAGTTAAAAAAGTTTTAAAGAAATACAGTAATATTATACTAAATTTAAAAAAATTAAAAGAATAAAAATAAAAATTTACCCACAGATAATTTAAAGAAATTAAGTGCAAGATTAATTAAGAGTCCAGGCTAGGAATAAGCTCTCAAGTTTGAGTCAGTAAAATGGAAATAGTAGTGGTACTTACCTTAAGGGTAGTTGTCAGCACAAAATGAGTTAATGTGGTGAAGTGGTTAGAACAGAGCATATATTAGTTTTCACGAATATTATAAATATTTTGCAAGAAGCCTTTAGTTAAACTTGAGAACAGCAGAGAGAGAGAGAGCCTTTCCCATCCTCCTGGTCTGTCCTTAGGATGAAGAACCCAGAAGGCCACTGGTGGGTCCAGAAGGCA